CGTAGTTCTTCTAAAAAAGAATAAAATTGTTTGTTGATTAATTTTAATTGAAGAGACATGTTGTCATCTTAAGGAGAAAAAACCAACTAATCAACCACAAGCATGAGAAGGTGGGCCTTTACATCAAAAATTAAAGAAGGGCTGCAACTTGATAACTCAACAAGCATGCCATTAGCTTTTTTCAAGTGGAAATGGATTAGTACCTAAAGTAAATAAATTTTATGGGAATAGGAGGATTACAACTCAACTAAACATTCACAAATAAGGGAAGAGGGAACCTTTGCATAACAAATGAAATAAGAACTCCAACTTTGATAACTCAACAAGTATGCCACTAGCTCTTTCAAGTGGAAAAGGATATACCTTATTAACCAATGTTGTGAGAACATGAGGAGTACAATCTCAACTTTAGAGGGCTTATGACTAATCTTTGGAAAATGTTTTAAAATAAAAAGCCAAGTGGCAAAATGGTTTGGGTGAGGTTTTTATTTTTTAGTCTTTTAAAAATATTTTAATATGCTTAAGTATCTTGAATAATTTATTAAGAGAAGATGTTTGAAAATGCACTTGAACAAGCCAAGGTTTTTATTGAAAGTGGTTTAAGTTTGAAAACAAGAATCCTTTGAAAAAGAAGAAAAAGATTTTGAAAATTAAATAAGACGAACAAGAGATGAAGGGACTATCCTAAAGCATAAAGTGAAACCTAAGGTAGAAAATATCTAACCAAACAAGAGCAATCATCTTAACACAAGTCAAACTATGCATCCATTATCTTTGGAGTTAAGCCACACAATCAAGTAAATAAGCATCAGATGAAAATTTAGTGCCTCAGGTGCAAGATCATTATTAGATTAATCACAAAGGGAGAAATGATTTCTCATGTATCAGATGAATATTAAAGCCACAAAGTAAAAACACCTACACACAAAAAAGTTCTCAATAAACAGACAAAAACACAATCAAAAGTCTCAGATGAATTAAGATCACAAGGTCCATATGAAAGTCCATGTGTTAGTCATTGTAACGCCTCATTTAAATATTTATCATTGTTTGTTGACTTTGAATTATTTTGGCATAACTAAGGGTATGTAGACATAACTAAGGGTATAAGAGAACTTAGTTTTAGTTAAGTAATTAGAAGTAAACTAACTCTATGTTATAATAATAATATTGATGAATGATTGAATATACTATTATTACTAATAAAAATATTATTATATATATAGTAAAGTTACCACTAATATTATTATTATTATTAACATTATAGTTATTATTATTATTATTATTATTATTATTATTATTATAATTATTCCATTATTATTATTATTATTTGCTATTATTAATAAAACATTATATTGGAAGAGTGGTAGAAGCAATTGGGAAAAAAGTGTTGTCATGTAGAAACAGAGAATACAAGAGAAGGAAGAACTAGAGCAAGAGAATTCCACCATTGTTAGAAGAACCAAAGCTCCAAACTAAGGTAAGGAGGGAGAATGGATTCTCTAAAAGGTAATTATAACATGAGAGTGTAGTGAGGGTTCCTATCCCTATTTAGATTTGGTGTATAAATAATGTATGCCTTTCTTTTGTTTAATTAATGCTATCTCTATGTGAATCCATGTGAGTTTGTGAATTAATGATGTGAATTGTTGTTGACAATTGTTGTGTGGTGTGGTTCCATAGAAATCCAAATATGAAAAATGGGTTAATAATGATGATGGAAATGATGTTTTAATTTAGGAGATTGTTATAGAATAAGTATTCAAATGAAATTAGATGAAGTCTATAGGTTATTATGTGTAAAAAACATTGTTTTGAATCTAAATTAGGAGGTTGGAAGTGCTCAAAATGAGTGGAAGTCGAACTGGTGCGAATGCATAATTTTTGGAGTAGTAGACTGGCCATACACGTATAAGGGAGGCCATACGCGTATGGGGGACACTCCCAGGGGCTGTACGCGTATGGTAAGCACCCTATTCCAAAGCTAGAACGACCATCTTCCGGAATGCATATGATACATATATCAGAGGAAGGTCATACGCGTATGGGCAGGCCAATACGCGTATGTGAGTCACTGGGTAGGTTTTTGAGGGAAATCCTCCTCTGGTGGTACGCGTATGATATGCATATGAGGCCTGGCAGTTGGGCCATACGCGTATGATACACAGGGATTGGGGAGGGGAAGTAAGCCAAATGCGTATGGGACATGTTTGTACGCATATGAGTAGGCTGAGGTGCAAAAATCCCCGTTTTCGCATACAATGTAGTTTCTTTTGGTCAGTAATAAAGTAAATTGGGTAAAAACCATGGAACTTGGTGTGAATTTCTTAATTAAATTGCATGCTGATAATGATGTTGGTGGCCTTATTGGAAAATGTTAAGGGCCTTTGCCATGTAGTTACATGAATGTGTTGTGCATGTTGATGTTGCATGAAAGCATTGGTGAGAGTGTATGCTCTGTTGTTTGCCTATAATGGTGTTATGTTGAGAGCTTATGCCCTATTGCTTCCCTATTCGGCATGATCAGGTCTTACACCCTGTTGGTACCACATGCATTGAGTTGATGAAGGTCTTATTGCGTTGCCTTATTGTTGAGTTAATGTTGTGTTATGTGAATGACGAATGTGTTGCGAAGTATTGTGAGTTAAGTGAATTGAGTGAATTAGTACTCCTTAGCATGTGATATTCACCATATATTTATTGAATATAATTCTCACCCCTTTTTTGTTGTTGTGTCTGTGCTCTTCTAGGAGTATAGATAATCAAGAATTCAAGTAGTGCTTGGAGTGAGTGTTACCTGATCGAGTCTTAGGAGCCGCTCAGATACATAACACGAGATTTAGGAATTTTCTATGTTTTTGCATTATTTTATTTGTTACGTATCTTACCTTTATACTTATGCTTAACCACGTATTTTGTGGAGTTTTTTTTATATTGTTGTTGAGGCCTTAATGCCATGTAAGTGAATCAATTTAGTTAATCTGCTGTTGAATTGATTTTTATATAAAATGAAGTAATAAAGTGACTTAAAACTTTATGAGTTTATGAAATATGTGACACCCTACTCGTATATTTTGATATGTTTCGTATATGTTATTATAGTTATTCATTTGGGTAAAATGGGGTGTTACAGTCAGGATTTCGACAAAGGTCAAATCCAGCTAAAAAGAAGAAGGTCAAGTCGACATAAAGCATAGTGGCGACATGAGGATCTTGTTCGTGATAAGCAGTTATGGAAAGACAAACATGGGAAAATAATGCCTGTTAGTGGGCTTGAAAACATGGGAACGTGTAAAACAAATTGAGGAACTAATGGGCACGTGGTGCTTGAGGAAGATGTATCCGCCAAAGAATCAGTTACTTTTTTGTACTATAAATAAATCATTGTAAATAGTTTTAGAGGGATTCAAACTTACTCACATCTCATGCAAACGCTCACAATATCCAAGTGAGGAGCGAAATGAGTCAAGCAAAATCAATGTATGTTTGAATCTCCTATTTTCTTTCATGTTAATGTCAAGCAAACTCACCTTCAACTTTACTTAAGTCTTGCAAATCTATTTTTATCTTTCAAAGTCTTTTAAGTTTTTTATCATTTGTAAAACAAGTTGATTTCACGCCGTGTCGAATTCACTTACATCCAAATCACTCATCATATCTTATCTTGAAAACACTCTAAGTTTGAAGCATTGTCTTGAGATTTACTAGTCGATCTCGCAAAGAAACCATTAACAAGAGACTAGCATTGTTTACATTTTTCAAGGGTAAACAAATAGGCACACCCAGTGGGACGGTGCTAAAACAATTTTTTCAGTGTTTTTATTATGTGAAATATTTTGTTGGCGTGCGTTGGTCATGCATGAATTTTAGAAGTGGGAAAGAATTGTCTAAAAAGTCAAGTTCTAGCATAGACACGGACACTTCTGACCTTGCCCAGAATACTTCACAAAATGTGGATATCATATCGACGGCCGCCACAACACAAGGTGCAATAATTTTTCCCCCTGTTAGATATCTTCTGCTATTGGTTCCACAACAACGGTTGCAACAAGACTAGGATACAGAGGGGGATCACCCTTTAACCCCATGAGAGTGTTGTTCAAAGTAGTATCCATGCCTATGGGACAATACCAGTATGGTATGCCCTAGTCGATGATGATTTTCCTTTAGTCGAACATATCAACTTATGCTTTGGAAAGGTTATAAGGCATGGTCTCAAGATTAGTTAAGATTCTCAAGCACATGTTTGTCAAGAGTTAATTCATGCTAGTATTGGAAGAAAGTTCATGTGGATTTCTTCACAAGTTAACTTGGACTTATGGTTTCAATTGAGTTTGAAGTGCATTAATCAAGCATGTAAATTGGAAGATCCATCCATGGTTGATCTCTTGAAATTAAAGCTACCAAGGAGAAATAGTGCAGCATTTAAAATGTTATTCAAGGCATGAGATCACTTTCAATTTCAAGTGGAAGATTATAGTTCCAATTGATTATATTCAAAGTTTCCAGCAAAGTTCTTCATCCAATTTCAATTCAAAGTTCCATTAACCATTTCAAAACCTCTTCATTCCATATTCAACAAAAATTCCAACAAGTTCATTCATTTAAAAATTTATCAAGTCCTTTCAATTTCAAATATCATACACCATTTTTGTTCAAATTACATTCAAAACATGTACAAATTCCATACGTGTCCATTGCATAGTTGAATTACAAGATATATTGAAATTCATTCAAAGCTACAAGAAAACTTAAACCTAACCAAGTTTATCCTAATTTCAATCATTCTCCATGTTCCAGCGTTTGACTAAGCTTCATGCTGAATGTCTTGCAATCTTCCCTTTCAGCCATGCCTTGCTAGTGGGCTTCAGGTCCACGTTTCTTTTAAGGACCAATCTCAGATTGCATAAAGATAGTTCATCATGGATTACAACAACGTGTCCGAATCTTTTAAATCATTCTCTCCCTTATGCCCTTAAAGAACCAACCTACTGTATTCTTCAAATAATTGCCTGCATATTATCCAAAACAAAAATGAAAGTTCATCAGTGGACGACTTTCCTACAATTTTAAAACAGTTTGGGGTTCAATTAAAACAGGGATTAGAAGATAATATGTTGTGAGTCCAGTTCTAACAGAATGTAATCAAACATGTACATACATATACAGTCCACAACTTCTAAGTTCATTCAACCATGTAAATGTCATCCTAGCAGTGTAAACACAACCCACAAAGCCAAAGTAAACATGCTACTAAACCGCATCCACAACTTCTAATCATAAGATGAAGCTAACTATTAACCTTCTGACCTTACCTTAAAAAAACAGTTCTCTAAATACATCGGCTAATAAAATCAGGTTCAAGCAATTAATAGAAAGTTGAATCAATAGCAACTAATAATCCTAAGCCTCATTCTAGTTCAAAAAAAACGGTATCAAACTTCCTAACAGAAAACAAAACTCCTAACATATTTCTAACTAACCCTCTAGCCGTTTTCTAAACCAATTTCCTAACTATTTTCCGGCTCTATCCTAGTAACAGAAAAACAAAAAAAAGGAATGCTAACTGCCTAGCTAACTCCCTCTAACCTCCTAACAATCTCTAATAGAATTTTTGTAACCAACGAAAATTAACAGCTCAGCTAGGATTCCCTTATAGATTGGCGCTTCATCAACTAACGACATGTGGTCAATTCAGAAATTTAAACACGAGCCAAGTTAATTCCATCAGTGCATAAATGTTCGAGGCATTCCAGCATAGTTCAGTTTAGAGTAACGTTACCTCACATGTATCAGGTCCACATTTCAATCTACATAAAACTTTAAATTTGCATTCAGAGTTGGCTTGTGTGTGCAGCCTAGATTCACATTCTAAACAACTCAAGATTCACTCCATATGCACCTTTAAGTTCAGTTCAGATACACATTAAAACACGCCTTTTTTCAATGAAGAAAACAAAAATAAAACTGAGGGAATAGTCAGAAAATATAAAGGAAAGTATTAGGGAAAATAGATGGGGAAAATCGGGAAATTGAAACTGAACTTCCAGCTCAGCTTATAACAGAATTTCAAATAAATCTCAGCTTTCCAATTCTTATAATTAACTGTTAGAATTAACAGTTCAGATTCAATTTCTTTGTAACAAAATTTTCCAGATCTAACGGAGATATATAATAGAATCCTCACCTGGATTCGGGGGATTTATTAAAAAAAAGAATCACAAGAGCTCAGAGCTTCAATTATCTTTCTCCCTCTGAAATTCTCTCTTCTTCCATCGATCATTCTTGATTCTCTATCTTCATCTTCATCCTCTAAAACACAGAAAAATTCTCTTCAATCTTGGCATATTCTTCAACCTTTTCCACCCTCTTCTTGTATCATCATCATTCAATCATCAATTCTGCATTCATTATTACCTTCATCTCTACACTCTTTAATCCTCCACTGCAAATCTTCAGCGCATCTCCATGTAGCTTCAACAATCATAATTTTCATCACAGGACGAATCTTCATCGTCATCAGAAACCTGAAGTAACTTCTCTCTTCAACCTTATAACCTGCAAATTCCATTTCAACAACCAAGTTTCATATATAGAACAACAGAGTTGATTGAGTTTCAAGAGAAAACACGTTTCACGAAGAAGAAGAAGAAGAAGAAGAGAAGGAATTGAAGGCGAAATGCATACCTGAGGCTATTCTTCTACGGTTTCTTAGTAGTATCCGACATCATAAAGCCATCAGAGTTGCTTCAATATCTGTAGCAGGGGAGGATGAGATTGAACTGGTGATTTGATTTGCAATATTTAAAGCGGATTCGTAGAAGTAAGATGATGTGGAAGCATTGAGACGATATGAACGAGGAAGGGAAAAGAGGTCAGGTTTGTTGATGTTGAAGAAAGTCGAAACGAGATGAAGAGATGAGGAAGTGAATGGTGATGTTCACAGTGGCAAGTTCGCCAGAAATCATCACTCAAAATTGTTAGAGAAGAAACTGGATCGTGAGGAAGATGAAGCACCGTATCTTTTGGAACCCTAAACCATGTACATCATGTTGAACTTTTACCATTTTCCGTTTTTATTTTGTTTTCACTTCATTCTTTAATTCAACAAGAGAACATTCTTTGTGATATATGGATTGGACTGAACTGTGTCATTTTCCTAAGCCCAATGAAGTTTTTTTGGTGAGCTGAAGCAGGATGAATAAGAGAGGCTGCATTGGTTTGACTGGGTTGGGCTGAATGGCATCCTGAAGCCCAACGTGATTTTTTGGAAGTTGGGTGGCTGCGCGAAAAAGAACCTTGTTGGGCCTAGCGCCCTTCTTCAGCAAACTCCTGGATCTCAGCCGGCACCCCCTTCTGACTAGAATGCTAATTTCTTCTTCTCATTAGTTTCCTTCCTACAATTTTTTATAATCAAAACTAATAATAAAAACAATAAAAATTTGTTAATTGTTTTTTTAGGAATATAATATAATTCTCCTAGATTTTTCTTCTTTTAGAATTTTGTTAGAATTTTCTTTTATGGTTTATGTTTAAATAATCATTTTGTTTGTGATACTTCATGCTTCACCTTTTGCTTGTTGAGATCAGTGATCGCACTAAATCGCACTATGTTTCTGACTCAAATATCACATGTTTTCCTTAGTTTTTATTGTCATTTTCTCGTATTATGTTCCTTTTTCCTTTGTTTTCAGGATTCTTGTCATTTCAGAGCCTCCTGTGAAGAAACGAGCCAAAACGCCAAGAAATTAGGGTTTTTCAAGATATTCTGCACTTATGGCGTTCAACACCGCGCTGGCTACAGGGAACGCGATGACGTGGCCCACTTTCACCCAGAGATCAACTGCCACGTTCCCATGATGTGGCAGTTCCAGGCACCGCGCCCGCGGCCACCCTCACTGCGCCCGCGGCCTTCACAAAAAGGTTCCCGCTCAAAAGAAGTTAAGGGGCATGCTGGTCCTTACGCACCTCAAAGATCCTCTATAAATAGTTTTCGATTCTCATTCTTTAGTTTGATCCAAGCTTAGTACAATCTTAAGCCATATACTATCAGTTTCTGTAAAGTAATAATCTCTTCACATCGGGGAGTTATTGCGGTGTAGATTGAGTTGTAATCGAGTCTTGGAGCACTTTGGTTGAAGTTCATCATACCAGCCTTACTTTTCCGTAGATTTGTATCAGATTCAAGTCTCCGACCGGAGCAAGGTTCTATTTTATTGCATTTCTTTATTTAATTGCTCTTACCATAGTCTACACGTTTTATAGACTTTAAATGCTCTTACCATAGTCTACACGTTTTATAGACTTTAAATGCTCTTACCATAGTCTACACGTTTTATAGACTTTAAATGCTCTTACCATAGTCTACACGTTTTATAGACTTTAAATGCTCTTACCATAGTCTACACGTTTTATAGACTTTAAATGCTCTTACCATAGTCTACACGTTTTATAGACTTTAAATGCTCTTACCATAGTCTACACGTTTTATAGACTTGCACTTATTATGTCTGGCTAAACTATAAAGGTTAGGATGTAATGATTGTCGTCATGGTCGTGTTCCAGTTATCATGCTAGTGAAAATACTCTGGGGATGTTTTGCTTCTAACTTAAGTCAATTGTGTTTAAATGTTTATTGGGTAAGATCGAAAGCCGTCCAAACTAATGATACGACTTGATTATTATTTAACCAAACAAAAAGAGCGAAAGCCGTTGATTGGTTAAATAGGAATCATTGACCTTTTTAGAAAACGATTTTGAAACTATTTTCGGACGCGTTTGTAGGTTTGAAATCTGACTCTTGGTCAAAAGCCAAAAGTCTCTTTAAGTTAATCTTTCCAAGTAAGATCACTTTTCTGTTAAGTCAAAACTATCAATTTCTTAAAAAATAGGTTTACCTCTTTAACGCGGAAGGCACCCTTTATATGTGACAATAAAGGAATTTAATTTAAAGAGTAAACTCGGTTCTTAGTAGTCAAAAGCTACAAGTTCCCGTTAAACTGATTCTTTGCTATCAATAGAAAATACTGCCCCATAAGTAGGTTCATCTACGCATGACCGGACCAATATCTGATTACATGATTTACATTCCAACCTGTCTCTTAAACTGTTATTTACCTCGCTCATTTACTTTGTGCACTGCACTCACATCAATATTCTTGTTCGCCTTAGATAAGCACCTTAGCAATAGAGTTGATAGATTGACAATTGGTCTCTGTGGTTCGATAATCTTATATATTACTTCGATAGGCTGTACACTTGCAGTACTACATTTAGGCTATACGTTACATATTAAACCCCATCAAGTTTTTGGCGCCGTTTCCGGGGACCAACTTCGTCAAATTTCGTACCCTATTGTTATCCCGTTTAGACTAAGGCTATTCTAGCCGGTAGATGCGTAGAAATCGTAGCACCGGCAAAATAATAGATCCTTTAGTAGAACCTGAACGTTACGCTCGTGCCCGTCTTTTTATTCGCAAGATAAGAAGAGCTATGGCAGAAGATCGTAACCAAAGACCGCTCAAGGAATTCGCCCAACCATCTAACGAGGAACCTAGTTCTAGTATAGTAAACCCTGCTATAACTACCAACAACTTTGAACTAAAGCCCTCGTTACTACAATTAGTACAACAAAACCAATTCGCTGGTCTCGCTACCGAGAACCCGAACCAACATTTAAAGGTATTTATCCAGTTAGCTGACACCCTTAAGGCAAATGGAGCCACACCCAAAGCTATCCGATTAAGACTATTTCCTTTTTCCCTTAGAGGTAAAGCTCACGACTGGTTAGACGCCCTTCCAACTAACTCAATAACAACTTGGGAAGACCTTAGGAGAGCTTTTCTTGCGAGGTATTTTCCACCAAGCAAGACCGCTGTTCTTAGGAACCTGATCACTTGTTTCACCCAAAACCAAGGCGAATCACTTTTTGATGCCTGGGAGAGATATAAAGAACTTTTAAGAGCCTGTCCGCACCATGGCCTAGAGCAATGGTTAATCATACATACCTTCTATAATGGACTCCATTACAACACAAAGATGTCCATAGACGCTGCCGCTGGCGGAGCGTTGATGAACAAACCTTACCCTGACGCTTGTGCCCTAATAGAGGACATGGCCCAAAACCACGCCCAGTGGGGATTAGAACGAGCGACAGTAGAGAAAAAGGAGAGCCATGGAGGAAAGCATGAGGTAAGTTGCATGGACATGATTAATGCCAAGATGGACGCCCTAGCCTTGAGAGTCGAGAACATGTCTCAAAACCCAACCACAGTAGCAGCAATCCAATCGGAGTGCGAACTCTGTGGAACTCAAGGACATCAAACCGTTGACTGTAACCTTTTGAACGAATCAAGCTCAGACCAAGTTAACTATACTCAAGGGAACCCTTTCTCGAATACCTACAATCATGGATGGAGGAACCACCCGAATTTCTCTTACAAAAACAACAACCCTATCCAAAATCCCGGACCTTCGAGACCTCAAGGATTCCAAACGCAAAAACAAAACCAACCTATGCAAATAGTACCCCCAAGACCAAACCTTAAAGAAACCATAGACACCTTTATTCAGGCTCAAACCCAGCAAAATAAGGAGTTTATGAACCAACACATTCACACGAACGAACTAGTTACTCAACTAGCAACCAAGTTTGACCAGATAATAACCCACACCAAAATGCTTGAGACTCAGATTTCCCAAGTAGCCCAAAACACCTCTGTACAAGTTGCACCTGGAGGACAATTCCCTGGACAAACTCAACCAAATCCAAAAGGCCAAGCAAATTCTATCACCTTAAGAAGTGGAACTGCTTATGAAGGGCCTGGAAATCCTAACTTAAGCACATCAGAAAAACCTATGGAAGATGCTACGCCCAAAGACCAGGTGGAGGAACCAGAGAAACCAGGAAAGCAATCAAAACCAGAAGTAGAGAAAAACACTCAACAACATTATAAACCACCTATTCCATTCCCACAGAGGCTGAAAAACACCAAAGTAGAAAACCAGTACCAAAAGTTTATTAAGGTAATAGAGAAACTCCATGTTGAGATTCCCTTTACTGAAGCTATAACCCAGATACCATCATATGCTAAGTTTTTGAAAGATATTTTGACCAATAAACGGCGACTCGATGATCCCAAGCCTTTAGAGTGTCATTTTATATCCGAGAATAAACTCGCCAAGAAAGATAAAGACCCTGGAAGCTTTTCTATCCCTTGCATCCTAGGTAACCATATGATAGACAAAGCATTTTTAGACCTAGGAGCAAGCGTAAGTCTGATGCCTCTGGCCGTCTGTAAGAGGTTAAAATTAGGAGAACTTCAACCTACTAAGATGTCTTTACAACTAGCTGATAGATCTGTCAAATATCCCATGGGTATTTTAGAAGACATACCTGTCAAGATTGGTCAGTTGTACATTCCGACCGACTTTGTCGTAATGGATATCAAAGAAGATGAAGACATCCCAATCCTCTTAGGAAGACCCTTCCTATCGACCGCCGGAGCTATAATAGATGTTAAGAAAGGGAAACTGACTTTCGAGGTAGGAGATGAAAAGATTGAGTTCATTTTATCAAAGTTTCTAATGGCACCAGTGATAGGAGATGCGTGTTATGCCATCGACATCATTGATGAATGTGTAAATGGGCTCGAACAAAACGAATTCTTAACCAAATTACCATCAACCCCTATTTTAGAGGATGACGGATTTGAGAGTATCGAACCGTACATTGACGACAATCTTTTCGAATGCTTAGCTCTTACCCATGACCTTATGCCGCGTGCTGAGAAAACCACTATAGAACTTAAGGAACTACCCAAGAATCTAAGATATGAGTTTTTGGATGAGGAGATGAATAGACCTGTTATAATTAGCGCCACTCTAAACCAAATAGAAACAAATCAACTATTAGATACCTTGCGAAAATATCCCTCAGCTTTAGGGTATAAAGTTTCAGATTTAAGAGGTATAAGCCCATCCGTATGCATGCATCGGATTATGCTAGAAAAAGATTCAAAACCCTCAAGAGAACATCAAAGAAGAATAAACCCTATCATGAGTGATG